CCAAAAGAAAATGTGATTTGTTATCTAAAAGGGGGTTATAAACACAGCTTCAATGCACTTTCTGTGCTGTAATGAAAACTCGGTTTGAAATGGCAAGATGACTGCAAATTAGAGTATTTGATTTTATTTTCTAACTTTTTAGGTAAACCTACAAGGGCAAGTACAAGGTTACGACGACGATCTTTCTGTTCTCAGCCGATAAGTAGGATCTGTAATTAAAGGAGGAGAAAAATGAAAGGGGGATAAGGAGCCGGTGTTCACCCTTCTAGCGCCGCTTTGAACGCAAAGCCCTGCCTGCATCGCCGCGGCAAACCCACAGGAACAGCCACCGGTGCCCACGCGTGGCGTGGCACAGGCGCCCTTCCCACCGCAGACACGTGCCAGGCACACCGCGGCAACACCGGATGGAGTAGCTGGTCGGCAGGGCCCCGTGCCCGGAGGGATGCTGCATCCAGGGCTGTACGGCCACGGAGGGGCATCCAGCCGTGCCACCACGTCCCCCCGCTTTATCCCTCACCTTTCTTGGGCGGTCGGGAGCGAAATCTCTGTTATTCCTCCTGTCCTTCCCCATTTGGCAAACAGTGATCCTGTTTTCCCTGGAGTTTCGTTTCTAATGGAGCTTGAAATTATCTGGGCTTTGTTATTTGCTCGCGTGTTTGCAGGCGGGGGTTATGGATAGAGGCAGCGGCGTGGGGCTGCCCGTGCTCCCTCTGCCGCCTCCGCGCACGCCACCACACCCCAAAACCACCCGTGCTGTGCCCAGCAGTTAAACCCTGTCCCCAGCAGCTCTTACATCTGCAGCTCAATTTATAGCTATTTTTTTTTTTCTAAGAAAGGGCCTGCTGGGCTCTGACCCTTCAAATGTCCCTTTCCAGCACCCAAAAGGTGGGGAGAAGTGGGAGGCAGGGGGTCAGCAGGCAGAGGAAGAGGGGACCTTCCCAGTGTAGCGATGGAAAATGCAGCAAGGAAGAAGAACTGGGAGAAAAACAACAGTAATAAACATTTTATGAAGCAGAAAATGGCTTATAAAGAAGTCAACTTTTAAAGGCAATTTATATAACCTGCCAAGTGCACATAAATGCGAGGATGGCTCTCTGCAGCGTCAGAGTGTCCCTTAAAGGGACAAACAGCTCCGGCAGCCCCAGCAGTCCGACACACAGTGATGACGATGCCCTGGGATGCATTTCACAGCTGGAGGTGCAGACCTGTGCCTTCAGTAGCGTCCCCTGGGTCAGCACGGCCCCTGTTCCTGCATGGCATGGGGGTGCGGGACACCCGAGACCCCGCTGATGGTGCTGGGATGGGGTTGAAGGTCTGGAAAAGAACCTAAGGCACTGGAAAACCCTGGAGGAAAGCAAAGCACATGGGAGGAGAGGAGCTGGGAGAACACAGAGCCGGCTGGGATGCCCAACGGGCAGCATGGCAGCTTGTCAGCGAGGATGGATACAAAGGACGGCAGCAAAAAACTCAACATGACCTTCCAGTGTTTTTGTAGGTACATTTTGCAGGTCTCTTGCCTGAGCAGGATGGCAAACAGAGGATGGAAACCTGGTAAACATCATCGTGGTGTGGGCTGCAGCCCTGGCACCTCCATCTGCTGCTGGGGATGGTCTGCACGGGGGGCTCACACCGCTGCCACGGCTGGGGGACAGTGCTGGGGACATGCAGAGCAGGGGGACAGGCCGGATGTGCCTCGAGGGACAGACCCCCGTGGCTCTGCACAGAGTGGAGCCAGCCTGTCCCGGCGGACCCCCTGCAGAGCCCTGGATGCAAGCCCGGAGGCCAGAAGCTTCTCACTGGGAAAACTGGTTGGCTGGGCCCCTGCAAACTGGGAGCTTTTTGTGGTGTCTTATCGTACCAGCGCCAGGCGGTTGCAGTGCGCCGTGGTGGAAGCCCGTCCCGTGGCAACGGGACCCAGCTCTTGCCTTTCCGGGGCTCCTCCCGGAATGTTTGCCAGCGGGTGAATATGCATCCCTGAGAGATCCTAGCTGTGTAGGCAGGGAAGGGCATGGCCTCTCCCCCCTCCAAATCACCGAGGGTGATACAACAGCCCCACACCGCAGCCTGCCCTGCTGTCTCCCATCCCTGCCCACAGTGCCACCCCAGCTGCCACCCAGCCCCGGGGTGAAACGAGCTGGAGGGATGACGTGAGAGGTGCCCCGGGTGCCACTGCATGGGTGACCTTGGGGCCAAGACTGCTTTTGGCCAAGGAGAGTGCTCCGGTGTCCAGGGGAGCTCTGGGGACACATGGGGACACGGCCCCAGCTTGGCATGGCCAGGAGACATAGGGGGCCTGAGGGTGGGTGAGGACAAGGAGCAGGGATGGGGCAGGACAGCGTGGGACAGGGGGGAGTGTTCTGGGAACAGGGAGGTGCTTTGCAAAGATGCCTGAGGTGGGAGGCTGAACTCAACCCCTTCAGAAAGGCCAGCATGGCCGGTGTGTGGCTGGGAACACCAAAAAAAAGCGAGCAAAAAGAAACTTTCCCCATAGAGATGGGTCTTGAGCGATTGCTGGCAGCAGCCTCCCAGCCGCTCGGGCTCCTGCTCCTCTTTCATTTTCCCCCGGACTTCCATAGCAACCCATCTGCAGCAAGGTTTAATGGGGCTGCCATTAGCACTAATGCAGCGCAAACACTCAGCATCTGCCGTCGCGCCTTTGGATGGAAACACAAAAATAACCGCGCTCGCCACAATCTGTCATCGACTCCGGCGCGAGGTTAGGATGCAACACGCTGGGAGAGGAGGGGAGAGCTGTGGCCAGAACGAACAAGCCGCTTGGTGGGAAGGGAGGAGAGGAGGAGCTGGGGATGCTGCGCTGCCGCCTTCCCTGCCCGCTGCCTGTGCCAGCACCAGCAACAAGTCGGGGGCAGCAGCAGAGCCAGTGTCACCCACTGGTGCTGGCATGCAGGTCTGATGGTGCCCTGCCATTTTATGGATGACGGATGGCAAAAGGAGGTTCAACCCCGGCAGCGAGAGCCATTTATGCAGCCCCTCAGTCCCTCTGCTCTGCCCGGGAACCAGGGCTGAGGCAGGCAGGGCTGCCTGCTGGGGAGGGGAGCAAACGCCCAGCGCCCCGGGGTGCTGTGCGCAGAGCTGGGCCAGTCCATCAAGTATCCCAGCCGGGTCTGGGCTGTCCTGATAAAGCTGCAGCAAGCTCTGCGGTGACGCATCGCTGCACATTGTTTCTGGGTGACTCGCTCCTAATTACCTTGATTAAGTGGTTGCAAACAGTGCTATTAAAAATATTTTTTCTAAGAAAGTGGATTTCTGAAAGGTTTGTGCCGTGAATGGCAAAACGAGCCAAGAGCTCCCCAGCGCTACAGCCTTTCCTGGCATATTTTGTATCCCGACTGTTATCCCCCTCTCAGCGGAAGGCAGCTGGGTCTGGATGGAGAGGGAGCTCTTTGGGGCTGCAGAGGGGCCCTGCAGCAGGAGCCCCTGCAGCGCAGCAGCCTCCCATCCCTGCGGCCCAGGGGATGAGCAGAAGCACCGAGGACTGCTGCAAAATGCAGGGACCTTTCTCCAGCTCTGCCTGCCCTGCCCGTGCCTTGGCCACAAAGCATCCACCCCTGGGTGCCAGCCCAGTGTGGGGTGCACGGGGCCACCATGATGCCCCTGGGGTGCCCATGTCCAAGCTTCGGGTGCTGTTCGGGGATGAGCTGCCCTGGGGCTCCTGACCCTGGAGGACACACAAGATCAGGCCAGCACTAGGGATGGAGATGAGAGCCCGTGGGAGATGCCCGCAGCTCCCCCGGTGCTGCTCCCAGCCTCCCCCAGGAGCCCTGAGCCCACAGTCGAGGTGCTGGCGAGGCACTGTCATTGGCATCAGCCGGTGCCCACACCAAACCTCATTATCCTTTTAACCTCCCCTCCACCGGCCTCCCGGAAAGAGATGACAGTAATTCAGCAGCGCTCTCATGCAGAAAGGTCTTGGTGACTGCTGGTGCCAATGACAACTGTCTGCTGGACGGGAGGGCCCCACGCCAGCCACGTGGTGAACGAAAGCCAAGCAGGTCGACACCTTGCCTTCTCTTCTGCTCCTCCTGCCTCTTCCTCTCCACATCAAACCTTGGTGACCAACACCAATGGCAGGAGGGTCTGCATGAACGGGATGTGGCTCCAGGTCCTCATCTCCTCTCCTCCCTAAGCGGATCATGGTTGCAGACAGAGGAATACCCCCAAAACACACCAGCAAGGCCCAGCAGCGGGACTGTCCCTGGACTGTCCCCTTGGCGACTGCAGGGGGTTCCCCAGGGCCAGGCAGGATCTGGCCCAATGCGGAGGAAGGGGCTGGGTGGCTCAGGAGTATTTTTTATTGTAGACTCTGTTTGCACTGGAAGGAAAACAATCTTTCCTTCCTTTTGTATTATTGTTATAATTTGAGAGCATTTCAAGACAGAATCCTTCAGGTTCCCGCTGAGCGCTATCACTGCCAGAATTACAAAGTCAAATGCAATCATTAAACCCGTATCTTCCCTCTCCCAGCCCAGATTGCTCCTTCCCCCAGAAACAGCCCCCACTGCAACTGCTGGCAGGTGCCACGGACAAGCCACCGCTGCTGTCACCCCACGCGAGACCCCGCTCAGCACCAAAGCCGCTGGCTGCTGGAGATGGCGGGGGGTAAGAGTCTTCCCAGCCCCCAAACCCTCAGCACTGAGGCGCCAGCTCGACCTTCACCTCCTGCCTTCTCCTTACGGCGTGTGCAGGCAGAGGCGAGGCTGGAAATGAGCTCAAAATCGCTTCATTTGCTCTCGTTAGTGCTGGCAGGCAGCGGTGCCGGGGCCGCCTACGTGCCGAGCAGCACAGCACGGCCAGCGGTAACTCGCGAGGGAGCCAAGAACGTGGGCAAGAAGGGAAAGAAGAGCCCAGGGATGGGAGCAGGGATGGGACAAGGAGCTGATTCCTGTGCCAGGAGTCATCCCCAAGGCCGGTGCCTCCGCAGAGCTCAGTGTCCAGGAGGGTAGGGGGTGGGAGTGGCTGGGGTGCATGCGGAGCCTTACCCGGATGTTGTCCTGCCAGTGGTGAGCCTTCTGGAACTTCTCCGCCGCGTTGGCAAGTCTCTGCAAAGCAAGAGGGAGAGGAGAAGTAAGACCAGGGAAAGCGAGAGGAGCCGGGCATTGCCCACGTCAACCCGGGACCGTGGGTTCTGCCCCAGCATGCGCCATCCCTCTGTTTGGGGGATCCCCCAGGACCCTGCCACCCCTCTGCTGTGCAGGCAGCGAGGCAGGAGGAGGGATCGCAGGCAGCAATGCCCGGAGAAGGACATTCCAGGCATGGGGAGCCGGTATTTTTCTGCTTGCTCCCACCTTTCCTGCTGCAAGCCAGTGTCTCCAGAGGAACTGCTGCCACTTGAACTCAACGAGGGCTGAGCCATCACAGCTTGGTGGCTGTTGGCGTTACCGCCAGAGCCGGGCAGGCTCTCATTTGTGGCACAGGGCAAGGACTGAACCCGGGTCCCTGCGCCAACGGCCCCCAGCTCTCTGCAGGGCAGGGCAGACCCTTCAAAAATGCTTCGAAAACCCCTTGAAATGCCCCAGTGTTAGGGCCCAGAGGTGCGCGGCTCTGCCCACCCAGATTAACCCCTTCATGTGCCCGTGCCCTCCTTCACCCCGTTGCACGCCCAGAGCCATTGGCTCAGTGGCACTGAGCCCGTCTGCAACACACCAGTGCTCCCAGGGAGCTGGCGAGCAGGCGAGGAACCAGCTATGAGACGCAGCAGCTCTGTCTGCAATTGCTGCCTGCAGCAGGAGGGTCCAGGGCTGAGCTGCCTGGCCAGGTCTCACCCAAGGCTGGGGCAAGCACAGCCTTCTCCCACTAAAGCACATGAGGCTTCAAAGAAGACAAAAGCATCTCCACCCTGATGGCTCCGGAGGCAGCAGGCAGTACGGGCAGGCTGCTGCCCGTGCTGGGGTAGCCAGAGGAACCAGGGCTTGCCAGGAGCAGGATGGATGCTCAGCACCGGGGCAGCCTCCCTGGGCTCGGGCTCAGCCATGAGAGGCCTCACCAGCACAGAGGGTGCAGCAGGGCAGGGCGGGAGACCAGGCAGTCCCTGGGGTACCGGCAGTGCTGGGAAAAAGCCGCAATCTGGCCTTTAATGGAGCCAAAGGGGACAGACAGGGCAAGAGCTCCAGGCTTTCCAACAGGATCCACTCTGCATCACTAAGCAAATAAAGCCAAGAGCAAAACAAGCGACACAGGCCTTTCCCTCCATCCCTCGACCAGCTCCAGGCCCCCGGGGGTGCGGGCAGCTGCCCGGGGAGCTGCCTGCCAGGGCTGTACAACCCGATTAGCACCAAAGCCCAGCTGGAGGTAGCACGGTGTCCTGAGCCAGCCCGCAGAGCTGAGGGCCACCCGGACCCCTGGGTGCCGGGCACCCTCCCCGCTCACAGGGGCGTGCTGTTTATCTCTGCAGCCTCACAGCACCCAGCACAGCCCGCCTGCTCCCCATCAGCTGTTGGCTTTACAAGGCCCCCGGGGAATACATGCCGTGGAGGTCTCAGCTCCGGGGGCTGAGTGGCTAATCTGTACGGGGTTAATTGGCCATGAGGCTTGCGAGGCTGTCGCAGCCCAGGAAGGCTCCCTAGTGAGTTAGTGGAAGATGTATCAAGCAAAGATGTGCCTCATGGCAGGCGCACCTGCATCGCCTGCTCCTCATTTCCCTGCATCCCCCAGCGGGACGGGACATGCTCTGCTCCACGCAAGCGATGCCGGCAGCCAGAGCATGGGGAGGGAGGGGAGCCCTGGCCGCCTCCAGCTCCCTGAATCGTCTGGGAGGAGGAGGAAGGAACACCGACAATGGGGTGACATTGGGCCAAACAATAACCCCAAATCATCGCCTGGGCAGCACCGCAGAGATGCACATAAGATTCCCAGTGCTACTGCACACCCAACTTTCATGCTGTGAACCACAAATCCCAGAATGAAACAGCACTCCTTTGCTCAGCAGGGACCCAGCATGCTGGTGGAAGCCCACTGGGGCGGCAGTGAAGTCCAGCTACACCCCTGGGAATTTATTTCCCCAGGGCCTGGAGAGCGCCTGGCTATAAGAGCACGCACACACAAGACAACGATCTCCGGAGAGGTGCACAGGAGCCCGGGGCACAGCCCCATGTGCCACAGCTGCTGTCCCCGTTGTCACCAGTTCCTCCAGCACTGCCGTCAGCACACGGGGATGCAAAATGCCTCAGCCCTTCTAAGTGTATGTTCGGGGGAAAGGAAGTCCCGAGGCTTCACGGTGTCTCCTTCACATGCCCCGCTGCCTGCAGGAGAGCGGCAACACCCAGCTCCGGCAGCACCCAGCCCCGGCAGCGCGGTGGGAGCAAGGCCATGACGGCAGGTGCTGTATTACCGGGAGCGTGGCAAAGCACTGGTACTCGAAAATAAGGTCACGAGTGGTGAAAGACATCATAGATCTGTCCCTCCCCAGCCAGAGAATGCAGCTTGGTCTTATCAGATGCAGGGAAGCGCGTCTCCATCACTGCATAATCTCAGCATGCACTGGTCGAAACTTTCCTGTTTAATCTTTTCTACTTTTAAAATCTTGATTTCCAAATCAAAGTGCTTGCTTTCAGTGGCCAGCATCCAAGGGGAATGATCAGCTATCAGCTGAGCACTGAAGCAAAATACCTATGGCTCTGGTGGTGGAGAGAAGAGAATGGGCGACAACGCGTGGCTGGACAGAAAAGCCGAATAATGTTAATTTTCAGGGCAGTTTTGCGGGGGGCTCACCTGCGCAGCCACAGCCCTGCCTCCCCAGAGCCACCTAGAAAAGCTGTGTCCCCAATTCTGCACCTCATTCCCCCAAGCTTTTGTGCTCTGTTTATATATAGAGATGGCTGATTAAAGGTGAGCATTTATTCCGAGTCACATTTAAGGCAGCAGTGATGAAATATGCATTTTTCTATGCTTGGTAAGAACATGTTTGTTTATTATGGGCAGGGATAAGATTTATGGACATCTTTAACTATTCATTGCCTTGTGCAAAGTGCCTAGAGGGTTGCAAATGGTGCAGTAAGGGACGGCTACACCCAGGAATGACGCTTTGACGGAAGATACTTTTCCTCCAGAAAACGCCAATTCATCAAAGTTGCTCTAGACACAACTTTGTTTTTTAAAAAAAATAAATCCAGATGCTCTTGTTTGATAAATAGCACGTTGCAGGGATGGGGGAGCCCGCGGCGGGATGGCACAGCCATAGCAGGGTTCTGCGCCGGCTCCCAGCTGCAGGCAGACACCCACCCCGGGAGAAGTGCCCCAGAGCCTCTCAGCTGTTGCTTCTGCAGCATTTTCCTCACTGAAGACATTTTGATGACGTGATCGAGATGGGGACTGGGAGGAGAGAGGGACCAAGCGGGCAGCCAGCCATCCCTCCTCTGCAACAGGGGATCCTCTGCCCGTCTCCATCCCTGCTGGGGAACACGCTCGGAGCAATGCCATGTCAGGGGGCTCCCGTGGGAGCAGCCCCAGCCTGTCCCCGGCTGGTGCTAGAGGGGAGCCCCAGCCAGGCCCTGCCCCGAGACAGGCTGCTGGCATGAATGGGATGGGCGGTTGCTGGATTTGGGATCCTCCAAAACTGTGGCAATGAGGATGGAGCCCCTGAGGGGGTTATTTGGGACAGCTTTGCTCACAAGCAGGACTTGGAGTCGTGTTTTAGGGCCAGAACGGTGCTGCTGCTCCAGCAAACCCCTCCAGCCACGTCTCTCTGGGGAAGGTGACGGGTCTGCCCGGAGCCACACATTGCTGCAGGATGTCCCCATTAATGCCAAATGAGTTCATCATGAACAATGTTATCGTGATCAATACAGCTCAGGGATTATTTTTAATCCTTAATAATGATTAAACCATTATTTTTCAAGTGTTACAGATCAATCAGTCCATCTCAAGGTGCGCTGCGTGCAGGGACTGCGAGATGCCTGGGATGCAGGCAGCGTGCCAGGGAGCCGGGCAGGGATCTTGTGCCCGTACACGGCAGCCACTGAATCTTCCCTGGGGCTTTGGACCTGGGGTTGTCATTTTTGCGGTTCGAACAGCAAGAAAAATTAGAGGAATTACCAAAAATAAGGCATGGGTGTGAAATACCTGCAAATTTCCAGCAGGTTCTGGCACAGGGACTGCCCTGGCCATGGCACTTTAAGGAGCACGGTTCTTTCCCCAGAAGTCTCCGAGGGCAAAGGATAGGAGATTTAGAGGCTGAAAACACTGAATTGAAACAACTCCACAGGTCATAAAAGGCCAGCAGGAGATTTCCAAGGGATTGGTGTCTGGAGATCCTGATGGTGGGGGTCTGCGAGGAGGAAGGTGCTGCGCGGGCTTTATTGCACCCCGGCCTCTCATGTTCTGCACGGTGCTCCTCTCCGCCTCGCTGCTCTCCTGGGCAGATCCATCAGGAGCTCCCTGCTCAGCGCACCGGCTTGCCCGGGATTAAGGAGCCTCGGGGACAGCATGGACTTGGGATGGGCAGGCGGTGGTGAAGGCGGCACAGCCAGGCATGCGCCCTCCCTCCCGAAAGTCATGTGGGAAAGGAGAGGGGGGACAAGGTGGGTGACCTCCCGTCTGCCTAGAGGATGGCACCTCCAAAAGCATGGCTGCTGTTTTTCCCCCGCTTTGCTCCAGGACCTCGCCTCTCAGCCCCGATCACCCACAAGCTCACCCACCCCACTCCGAGCACAGCTCACCCATGCGTGCTTGCCCATGGCAGCACCTTTCGGGGGGCAGCTGGTCTGATACCCCGAAGCTGCTGGGAGGGAGGCAGTGGGAAACACTCTGAGTATCAGAGCTGGCGCAGGCAGGGTCTGCAACCTCCTCTCTAGGCGGAGGGGACCGTCCCTGCTGTCAGCATCCCCACTGCTTGAGGGGCCAGCACGCAGAGGGACTGTCCCTGACATAGCAAGCACCCAAAGGTGCTGCCCACCTCCTCCTCGTCGCCTGTTCTCCCCCATCGCACCTGGGGCTCTCCTGCATTGCTCCAGTATTTTCGCACAGCGGCTTTCCAAGGGAAACTGGTCTAATGCTTTGCTAAATCTCTCTTCCCAGCCCCCACATGGCAATAAGTATGCCCTGG